TGTCCTGGAGTTTGAACCTGGAGTTGGCAACCATCAGCCAATGTTTATCTGCCTGTCTGTCTTTACAAAAAACCCCCCCCACACACACACACAGCCTCTGCCTAGGGAGCAGCTGACATCATTATCCTCTGCCAACTGAAAATTCCAACTGCCTTGCGGGGGGGTGGGGGGGGGGGGGGGGGGGGCATTGTTCTGGATTTGTGAATTAATTCAGGTTCAGAAATCCCACATTATAATCTCTCCTTCATGCGTCTCTGTTTGAGGACTTCCACTCTTTAGTCAGCAACAGAACATCCTGAGAGATTAAAGTATTCTCCCACTGGTTTGTGAGTGCTGAGATTTTTAATGTCAGATTTATGACAATTTATTCTCTGGATAGAGTCTGATGTAGGGAGTGGAAGGACATTGCTCAAAGAGTGGCATTTTGCATTACGTTTTGCATCGTACTTTTGCATCCTGACTCCTTTCTTTGCAACACCCCTCACACCCTCTGACTGGGATTTGAAGAAGGGATCTCCACTTCTACTTGTATCTGACAAAAGGAGCTTTGACTGTTTACAGTTTATATACGCAAAGTTTTGATAGTCTCTAAGGTGCTACTGGACTGAAATCTAGTTCTTCTACTACAGACCAACACAGCTACCCTCTGAAACTACATTATCATCTACCTATTTGATTCTAGCGTCTGCATTTTAAACATATCATATCAAATACTTATGCTTTGTTTTCAGATTTCTGTCCTATTACTTCACTTCTAGTCCTGTTAGTTCACTGATCAGATGTCATATTCTATCAACTGCGCTGACTTCCATTGTGTAATCCACCTTGAGTCTCAGTGAGAAAGGCAGGCTGTAAATAATGTAAATCAAAATAAGTAAATAAAATAATTGTATTTATTTTATTTATTTTGAGATTTCTATCCCGCCCTACCCAGTGGCTCAGGGCGGCTAACAACAACATATAAATAGTAAAACAATAAAATAATTTTAGATACAATAAAAACTGGTGCTTCAGTCTATACAATCTATACCATTTACATAATGTGCATAGATTTATTCTACATAAATTTCCTGTTAACAAGCTATATCGGATTCCCTACAGTTTCAATGACTGACAGCCTTATACGTTATTCAAAGATGGCCATGTTACAAGAAGAAACGTTAGGCGTCATGCCCCAATAAGTGGCTGATCTCCTGTGGACAAGTAGAACTGCAACAGAAGGGACATGGGTGGTTTTCTCTAGCGCATGCTTTCGCTTTACAGGACTTTTCACCTTCTCTGAACGAAGCCCAAGATAGTCTGTATATGGTAGTGATGGTGGTTCTTCATGGCAAGTACAAGGAAGTGCATGTCTGTAGTGGTAAGACACAAGGGAAATAAAATTGCTGTAAAAACTGTCAAAGGTCACTGTGGCCACCCCTATTTCTTTCGTGACACCTCAGCACTTGTGTGTTTTCTTGTGGGTGTGAGTATAGGAGGTAGATCTTAACAAGTAGGTCAGCCCAGAGTCTAAACTACTCCAATACTTTATTCTTGGCAGTAGTAAGCTACTGTTTCCCTCAGGGCTGTATTTCATTGGGAATGTACATTATATAGACTTGTGTCAACACATACACAGAAGGCATTTCTCACAAATGAAGCTTCAGAACACTGACTTATCAAGTAGCAAGTGATTATTTTGGTGTTTTGCCCATACCTTACAGAACAAGTTGCTCAAACAGTGGTCATCAAAAGACATGCTTTATGCCAGCGGTTCTAAAAAAGATTTCAGAAGATCTTTCTCTTTTGCAGTTCTCCCCATTTCCTGATGGCACCCTTCAGCAGAATCAGCAGCTATCTCAATTCAACAGTAGCAGTCCCACATTGGCAAGATAACACCACAGGACCTGGACCGCAGCCTTCTCATGCCTACTACGCCCTCTGCTATTGCATCTTGATCGTGGTCATTGTCTTTGGCAATATTTTGGTCTGCCTGGCAGTTCTGAAGGAGCGCAGCTTGCAAACTACCACCAACTATCTTGTGGTAAGCCTGGCAGTAGCAGATCTGCTTGTGGCCACCTTGGTGATGCCATGGGTGGTATATCTTGAGGTGAGTGCAGCTTAGGCTGACCATCCTAACATGTCTGTTTTTGGCACTTATGCTTGTATGAGAGACCTTAAAAATTACAACGGTCCATTTAGAAGTAAACAAAGTAGATAATGTTCTATGATAATGTTTTTAGTGTTTCTCTTTCCTCTGTTTTCACATTATAAAATGATGGTACAACCAGGGGTCATTTGGGGGGGGACGTGGGGGGACGCCATCCCCCCGGGTGAGGTGCGGGAGGGCGGGGCCTGGAGCTCCCTGCTGGTGCCCGCTGGAGGTCGCCGCCGGCTGTGGGGAGGACACGCTTCCGGTGATGTCAGGGTGTGTGGCATATGCTAATGAGTTATGCTAATGAGTCCCCCTAGCTCTTTTTCTACGAAATGACCCCTGGGTACAACAGATATTTTGCAGGTCATGAAACTGGGGGTCAGATTAATTACAAAATGAGACTCTGGGAGCTAATATCATGATATGAAGACACAGCAATTTAGATGGAAGTTGGGCTAGAGATAGGTGACTGATTCTGCCCAGGGAATTAAAAAAAAAAAGAACATCCTATCCCTACCACATAAATGTTACTTTATATATAATCAAGACGAGGAACTTATCTATTGGGTCACTTGAGGATATTCTTAGTATCTCATATTTCTGCTATGTGTATAAGAAAACAAACAGAACATGGAAAATGTAACCCAGAACTTGCATTAAAAATGAATCTGCTGAGGAAGAATGGTAAGACTATCAGGCCATCTCCTTGAATTACATCCCAAGTCTGCTGGCTTTAACAAAAAATGAAATAAAGCCTAAAAGTCTGATTATCCCTGTTTAATCTTTACCTCTCTATATATCGTGAATGTGAAACCTGTGTCTTCTCATATTTCCCATCACATTGTTTCAGGTCCACTTGTTAAGCCCAGGGAGCAATGACATCTATGTCAGGAGGCTTTGTCACAGCTCAGGGCTCCTTACCTCTGGGGAAGAACAACTGGAGTGGAGGCCCAGCCCTTAGGAGGGCAGCAGCCCAGTGGCAATGCTGGGCAGAGAGCCCACTGGGGCGGCAACAGCAAGGGAGGAGTGGTCAGAAGGAAGCCCCACCAGTACACTAGCTCCCTGTGGAGTAAAGGGCTCCTCTGGTATAAAAGCCTCCTTGAGAGGAAGGGCTTGCTCAAAAGTAGGAGCAGGGAAATAAAGGGGCAGCTGCCTGAAGGCTGGGAGAAGGCTGTGGGCTTTGGCAGACAAGAGGGAGCCAGGCCTCCTGAAGCCTCAGCAGTTGGCCGTCCTGGCCCCAAGGGCAGCCAGAAGGAACTGTGTATGTCTGACCAAGGCAGACAGACTACCTCGGCTTCATCTTGCAAGAAGGGTGCAGCAGCCAGGGCAGGGGTGTAAAGTCCTGGGAGAAGGATCCAGGCAGAGAATGCAGCCCCAGCAGCAAGGTGTAAACAGGTGGAGGTGAGGGGTAGTGATCTGGCTAGGCCACAGGGTAATGGTTGAGTTGGCAATGTAGAGGAACCAAACCATTAAAATACAAGTTTCACAGTCTGGGGTGTGTTGCATCATCTCTGCCAATGTAGAGAAAAGATGGTGCCTCCCCAGGGGGATGTGGCCCCTGACCCTGGGGGCTTCACAAGCTGTGGCATATATTTTGGGTTTGTTCCGTCTGAATAAATTCACTCCAAGCCCTAAGAATGCAATGGCTACAAAGTTAAATGTATACATTCCAAGTTTAAACCCAAGGGCAGACAAAAGACCAGTGATTTCAACCGACCTTAATACATGTGAGAGTGTTTAGCAATGTAGTGAAACCTAGCCCCATAACTACAGTTGCCTGCCCCAGATCTGGAGATGCTTTAATACCGTCAGCACTGACTTCTGCTCCGCTGTCGCAAAGGTTCCTTTTCACATTTATGCTCATCATCTCATCAGTTTCAGTTTCAATTTATTGATGCGGTCGAAGACCAGCACAAGTCACATAAAAGCAGTACGGATGGATTATATATAAATTACAGGGAATTAGTCCAATATGAAATATATATATGAAATATATAAATATACAGTATTACAAGTTTAAAAATAATTAATAATTATTGTTAAAATGCAGGTGCGCTACATAAAACTTCCTGGAGGATTTTGCAAGCAGCTGCGAAAAACCTTGCTCTGAGAGCTACTGTAATCTGAGGATTGGCATCATCTAGTCTTGCTAACAGGACTTTATTTCTCCATAGCAGGTAGATGAGGGAGTCTGAAAAAAGTCACCACTGTGTCGTTAACTTTCATATTACACTGACTGGAAAGGATGTGTTCAGTGGGCTGACTGTTGCTTTTGGCCAATTGAAGACGTCACCGTTGCTAGAAATCTTCAGTTAGTGCTGCAAGGCCATTTATTTGCCAGGTCTTTTAATGGTGTGCATAAATGATGTATATAAATTGCAAGAGGGAGAGGAGTTACTGGGGAGTCTATTTTGTAGGTTTTAAATTGTAATTTGCAAACCACTGTGAGGCAGCATATAAATGTGTTAACTAAACAAATATTCATAGAGAGGGTTTACAGAGGATCTCATTGGGATTGCAAGCCTGTGCCCTCCAGAAATGAGCAATAGGTTGTTGTTGTTGTTGTTCCTGCCCATGCAACCAAACATCAGGAAAGGTGACACCTGATGATCATCTCCAGTCTGTACACCAATAAAAAACTCAGGAACTAGAAAGAAGAGGGCAACTTTAGAGCTCCCATTTCTCCTGAAATTTCTCCGCGTTTAATAGAAATGTCCATATCACGTATTGAGAACCATTACTTCAAACAAATTGACTTATAAACCCATTGTGCTAAATGGTCGCATTGTTTCTGCTCAGAACATTCTTATAACAACTTTCAGTATGATAAGAACTTTTTAATTTAACTAAATTAGGCAGCAAGGCTGTGCAAGGCTGCAAGCTAATATCCCAAGCCTTTAAAAGTTTATGGACAAGTCTGTCCCTTTGACTTTAATTAGACTTATGTTCCTAAGTAAATGTGCCTAGAATTGCAACTTTCGTTTCTGAACCAGTTTAATTAAATTGCTGCTTCACACTGTGGGCAGCACAGGTCTCAAATGTGAATCAACTGCAACAAATGCATACAAAACATAGACATTAAGTCTGGTTTGGTCTATAAGCAGGGTGAAAGTCAGTCGTTTACAGTAGTTTTACCTCTGTTTCGTGCCATTCTTCCAAATCGGTATTTGTGAAATCACAACAATGTTGTAATTAAAAGAAACTGAGGTGTTTATCCCAATGATTGGCAATACTAATAGTGACCCTGATGATTAATTATTCATGGCCTCTTACAGCAGATCAAAAGTGAAAGAGGGAAACTCTCATGGTGCAGACCCGCTTAGGCTCACATAATGAACCTCGCAGAAAAATAAAGGATTATTTCTAAAGAGCAATGATCTCTATGGAATATTTAACAGTCAAAAAGCAGACTTAAACTTTAGGAGGGGGCACACAAGAAGAAAGGAGTACATGAACAGAAGTATCTGAGAAGAAGGGATACTGGACATCTAACACCGGTGATCTTTTGCAGTCTACATTACCTTTCATCTCAGGAATTCAAAGCACTTTGCAAGCATTAAAAACTTCCTCAGTCCTTACAATCACCTTCTCAAGTCAGAAAAATTAATGCCAAGGCTCTAGTAATAAAGTTCACAGCAGGAGGCTTGGTTTTAACTTTGCAGCATGCTCAGCGTCAATAAATGAAGTTAGGAAGTACCTAGGTTGAGGTATCAGTAGAGAATCCAGGTTTCTGGTGAATCTACAGGAGCATAACTCTAAATAAACTCCAGATAACATCCATATCCTAATCATCCTGAACATATTTACGTGGGAGTAAATTTTGTTGTTTGTTTTAAACACAAAAGACATACCAAGCTGGATTAAAGCACAAGCTTTTCTTAACTCTTCCAGTAGCACTCTGCTTCCTCCCCTTCTTTTTGATTCACTCCCTCTCTTATTTTAAAGAAAAAGTAGCAACAGATTGGACTTCTAATTCTTTTATATTTTTATCCTCCATTTCCCCCACTAATGTGAAGCCAAAACTTACAACATCATTCTCCACTGCTCCATTTTATCCTCACAACAATAAACCTGCAAGCAGGTTAGGCTGGAACAGAGTCACTGGCTTAAGCAAATGTCCATTGTAAAGTGGAGATCTGAACCTGAGTGTCCCCAGGTCCTAGTCCAGTCCTCTGTCCCCTGCACCACACTGGCCCTCAGACAGAGATACATAACTCTTCATGTTATATATCACGATGGAACCGTACTTGCGAAAGGGCTCACTAGCGAACATGCGGACTAGCGTAGCTTGGAGCGCATCACAACAGAAGGTTTGGATTCTAGAATGAACCAATAGATTGATCTGGATCCTAGTAGTAGCCAATTGGTAAACAATACTCTGTAAACAGCCTATCGTGGGCGTGGTGTGTTTCATGAATATAAGCAGGGCTCTGACCCTGCAAGTCTGTCTTTGTTTTGAGCTGAAACCACTTAAACATGAGCTAATCACTCTAGGTGTCTGAACCCAGTATATTTCACCTTATCTATTGGGGTGCTTCTAAGAGCAGAAGTTCCCACTGTGACTTCTTTCCTAGTAAATATGCATTGCATTTCAGGTGAAGTTCTTCCCTACGTTGCAACAGTTTGTGGAGTCTGTTAAAAGCAGAAAGGGGGAGGTGAAAACTGTGTGGTTGCAACAGTTTGTGGAGTCTGTTAAAAGCAGAAAGGGGGAGGTGAAAACTGTGTGGTTGCACTGCCCATATCTATAATCTTATAATTCAGCATATCTATGATGATATACAGCTGGATTTTTTAAAAAAATTCTCCCTGTTGCCTCAAAAACAGATGCTGCTACTGCACAGGAGTTTGGAGCTTTTTCATTTTTAAGTATAAGTGTTCACTGATACATCAAGACTGTCTTATTTCTGAAGCAATTGAAAAGAGTTTTAGTCTATTACATTGTGGGTGTGCACGTG